TTTGAGTGTCTGCAGAACATAGAATTAATAAATGAGGTGATGGATACACTGATTACCCCACTGTATACATGTATCAAAATATCACACTGTACCCTGCAAGTATGTATGAATATTGCATGTCAATTAAAATAATAATGTAGCCGGGCTCGGTGGCTCAGTCTGTAATCCCGTGCTTTGGGAGGCTGAGGTGAGTGGATTGCCTGAGCCAGCAGGTTCGAGACCCACTTCGGTAACTTGGCAAGACTTTATCTCTACAATTAATAAAAAATTAGCTGGACGTGGTAGCGCATGCCTGTAGTTCCAGCTAATTGAAAGGCTGACGTGGAAGGATCACGGAGCCCAGCAGGTTGAGGCTGCGGTGGCCGGGAGCAACCACTGCATTCCAGTCTGGGTGACAGAGTGAGACTCCCACTCAAAATAATAATAATAATAATAATGAAAGTATTATAAATAATAATAAAAGTAAACATTTCTTTTAAAAGACCGAAATGGGCAAAGGACTTGATATTGCTCCAAAGAAAATGGCAAATAAGCACATGAAAAGATATTCAGCATCACTAATCATTAGTGAAATGCAAATTAAAGTACAATGCGGCATCGCTTCATACCCGGTAGCACTGCTATTATTAAAGAAGAAAAAGAAAGGAAAAGAAAAAAGAATAAGTGCTGGCAAAGATGTAAAGAAATTGTGTACTGGTGGGGGGGTGGTAAGATGGTGCAACCATTGTGAAAAACCATATGACAACTCCTCAAAAAAATTAAAAAAGAATTTCAGTATGATCCAGCGCTCCCACTCTTGGTCTATACCCAAAAGAATTGAAATCAGAGACTCAAATAGGTATTTACACACGCATGTCATGTTCATAGCAGCGTCATTCACGTTAGCCAAAAGGTGGAAGCAACAGCAGTTTCCATCAGCAGGTGAATGGGCAGACAAAATGTGGTAAGAACATATGACAGAAAAAACACAGCCTTAAAAAGGAAGGGGATGTTGCCACATGCCTTAATACGAGTGGACCCTGTCGATGTTCGCGAGTGAAGTCAGCAGGTCACAAAAGAACAGATACCATGTAACTTCACCTCTGTGAGGCACCTGTAGTAGGCACCCTCGTAGAGACAAGAGGGGGGATGGTGGTCGCTGGGGGATGCGGAGGGGGAATGGGGAGTTGTTATTTAAGGGATACAGAGTTTCAGTTTCGGAAGATGAGAAAAGTTCTGCAGATGGATGGTGTTGATGGTTGCGTAACAGTGTGAATATATTTAAAAATGGTGAGTTTTGTTATGTATTTTACCACAGTAAAAATACAATACGATAAAAAGAGAATTGCCACTCAGACATTTCTCAAAAATAGAAGAAAACACTTCCCACAGCATTCCAGGAGGCTGGCATTACCCTGATACCATGGCCAGATATGCCACAAGAAAAGAAAGCTGTAGACTCATATCCTTAATGAATATAGATACAAAAATCCTCCACAAAATACTAGCAAACCAATTCTTTTTTTTTTTTTTTTTTCGAGTTGGAGTCTCACTCCGTCGCCCAGACTGGAGTGCAGTGGCCGCTCCCGGCCACCGCAGCCTCGACCTGCTGGGCTCCGGCGATCCTTCCGACTCAGCCTTCCGAGTAGCTGGAATTACAGGCGGGCGCTACCACGCCCGGCTAATTTTTGATTTATTGTACAGATGAGGTCTCACCAAGTTGCCCAGGTGGGTCACGAACCTGTGGGCTCAGGCAATCCACTCACCTCAGCCTCTCAAAGGCGCGGGATTACAGGCTGAGCCACCAAGCCCGGCTGCAAACCAATTCTAACAACACAGTAAAAAGGATTATACACCATGACCAAATGGAATTTATCCCAGAAATGCAAAGATGATTTAACATAAGAAAACCAATCAATGTAATACATCACATTAATGGAATAAGGGGGGAAAGCATATCTCAATAGATGGAGAAAAAGCATTTGACAAAATTCAACGCCCTTTCAGTGTTAGGAAAAAAAGACACACACATACCAAGCAAACTAGGAATAGAAGAGAATTTCCTTAACATGATAAAGACCTTTTATGAAAAAGTCACAGCTAACATCATAGTCAATGACGAAAGACTGAAAGCTTTCTCTAAAGGATCAGGAAAAAGACAAGTATGCCACTTTCACTACATTATATCCAGCATTATGATTGGGAAGTCCCAGCTAGAGCAATTAGGCAGGAAGAAGAAATAAAAGGAAAGGAAAAACCAAGACTGTCTTTATTTGCAGGTAACATGATTTTATATATAGATCATCCGAAAGAATATATACAGACACAAAAATATAATTAGAGCTAATAAACAAAATCAACACTCAAAAACCAGTGGTTTTATTCGCCAGCAACAAACATTCTGAAAAAGAAATTAAGAAAATAATTTGTTTCCAATGACATCCAAAAGAATAAATAGCTAGGAATAAATAACCAAGTAGGTGAAAGACTTGTACAATGAAAACTACGAAACATTGCTGAAAAGAAGTTAAAGCAAACCTAATTAAATAGAAATGCACCTATGTCCATGGACTGGATGACTTTATATTGTTCAAATGGCAGTGTTACCCCAAGCAATGTGTAGATTAAATGCAATCCCTATCAAAATCCTAGTGGCTTTTTTTTTTTTTCCTCCCAAGTTTGGAGTCTTACTCTGTCACTCAGGCTGGAGTGCAGTGGCACACACACACGGCCACACACGGCCACCCCAGTGTCGACCTGCTGGGCTCTGGCAGTCCTTCCGTCTCAACCTTCCAAGTAGCCCAAGTGTGCTACCACATCTGGCTAATTTTTTATTTATTGTAGAGACGAGGTCTTGCCAAGTTGCCTGGGCTGGTCTTGAACCAGCGGGCTCAGGCAATCCACTCGCCTCGGCCTCCCAAAGTGCTGGGATAGGCTGAGCCACCGAGCCTGGCCTTTTTTTCTTTTTGAAAGAGAAAAGCATATCCTCAGATTCTTGCGGATTTTTAAGTAGGCAAAACCAATCTTGCAAAAGGGAAACAAAGTTGTAGGACTCACATTTGCCAATTTCAAACATTTCTAGAAAGCTACAGTAGTTAAACCAGTATGGTAACTGGCCCAAGGAGAGATGTGGGTCAATGGAATAGAATACAACACCTAGAAATAAACCCAAACATGTATGGTCAATTATTTTTGGCAAGGGTGCCCGTGGGGGAAAGAATTACCGTTCTTTCAGTGACAATCCAATGGGGGAGAGTGCAGTCTCCTCCACAAATGGGATGTTGAAAACTGGATATTCACAGGCAGAAGCACGAAATTGGAGCCCTACCTTACTCCGTATCCGAAATTAACTCAAGGACCTAAAGAGAAGAGTGAAAACTGTGAAACTGCGAGAAGACTACATGGGGATAAATCTTCGAGACCTCAGGATCAGTAGCTGATTCTTAGATTTGACAGCAAAATCATGAGCAACGTAATAAAAAATACATACACTGCGCTACATCAAAGTTTAAAACATTTGTACATCAAAGGACATTATCAAATATCTGGAAATGTGATCAACAGAATGGGAGAAAATATTTGTAAATCATATATTTTATAAGGGGCTAATATCCAGCATATGTAGAGAACTCCTGCAACTCAACAACCAAAAGACAATTCAATTTTTAAAATGGGCAAAGGATCAGAATAGACTTTCCTCTAAAGAAGATATACACGTGAATAATCACATGAAAAGATGTTCAGGGTCAAGGAAATGCAAATCCAAAGCACAATGAGATACCACTTCACATCCGTTTTTCGGGAAATGGAAAGAGGCAAGTGTGGGAAAGGATGTGGAGACATAGGAACAGCAGTGCATTGCTGGCAGCAGTGTGAAACACAGCAGGTGCTATGAGAAGTGCTTGGCAGCTCCTGAGACTTAAGCAGAGAATTACCATGGGACCCAGCAATTCCACTCCCAGGTATAAACCCGAGAGAAATGAAGAGATCGGGCCACACAAAAACCTGGGCGTGAATGTTGATGGCCTCATTAACCGCAATAGTCAAAAGGTGGAAACAGCCCACGCGTCTGTCAGCGAATGAATGAGGTTGGGAAAGGCCCATGGAATGGTGCTCAGCCACACCGAGAAAAGAGTGCCAGCACAGCCACAGCATGGACGAGCCTTGAAAACCTCACACTAGGCCAGGCACGGTGCCTCACGCCTGTCATCCCAGCACTTTGGGGGGCCAAGGCGAGAGGATTGCCTGAGCCTGCGGGTTCGAGACCAGCCCAGGCAACTTGGTGAGACTTTGCTCTACCATAAATCAAAAATTGGCTGGGCGTGGTAGCGTGCGCCTGTAGTTCCGGCTACTTGGAAGGCTGAGGCGGAAGGATCACTGGAGCCCAGCGGGTCGAGTCTGCAGTGGCCGGCAGCATGCCACTGCACACCAGCCTGGGCAACCGAGTGAGATTCCCACTCAAAAAAAAAGCCACGTGGTGTGGGATTCCTTTTAAATTAAATGTCCAAGCCGGGCTTGGTGGCTCAGCCTGTAATCCCGTGCTTTGGGAGGCTGAGGTGAGTGGATTGCCTGAGTCCACGGGTTCGAGACCCGCCTGGGCAACTTGGTGAGACCTCATCTCTACAATAAATTTAAAAAGTCAGCCGGGTGTGGTAGCACATGCCTGTAATTCCGGCTACTCGGAAGGCTGAGGCGGAAGGATTGCCGGAGCCCAGCGGGTCGAGGCTGCAGTGGCCGGGAGCGGCCACTGCACTCCAGTCGGGGCGACGGAGTGAGACTCCAAGTCAAAAAAAAAAAATTAAATGTCCTGAACAGACAGATCTATAGAGGCGGGAAGGAGATGAGGGGTCACTAAGGGACAAGGGTGGAATGGGATGGTTGCTTTAATGAGTACGGGGTCTTCTGGAGTGGTGAGAAATTCTGAAACTAGAAAGACAGTTGTACGATATGTGAACACACTAAATGCCACCGAATTGCACATTTTAAAACGGTTGTGTGCTGTTGGCCATAGAGCCCACACCATGAACATCAAAGCCACTGCGTTCGTGGAAGGCATCCTGGGGGGGGGTGAACCTAGATGGACCTCAGTGGCAGGCTGGGTCCTGGGCAAGATCACCGGCATGAGCTAGGGTAGAGCAGGAGCCGGGGGCGCAGGGGTCTGCAGAGGGCTGCGCTCGGGCAGAGGCTTGCGTGGGGGACCCAGAACGACGGGGACAAGGAGCCCTGGAAGTCCCAGGGCGAGGCCTGTGGGGAGAGCAGGTCTGGGCAGGCGCTGGCCAAATCAGAGCGGCCGCTGCTGTCCCGAGGGCTTCACGCACGCGCTGGGCTGCAGGGTGCGGGGGCGAGAGGGCGGGCTGAGGTCTCTCCGCGTCACCTCTTCCCCTTCCTGTCCCGCAGATGTTGAACCTCTTTGTGGCTGTGATCATGGACAATTTTGAGTACCTTACGCGGGACTCTTCCATCCTAGGGCCTCACCACCTGGACGAGTTCATCCGGGTCTGGGCTGAGTACGACCCGGCCGCGTGGTAAGTGAGCCGCGTGCTCTGAGGTCCTCGGGGCAGTCCACACCTACGGTCTCAGGGCAGGGCTGGAGTGGCTCTGGGCGTGCGTCCGGTGAGCGGCCCCTGAGGCTTTGGCTGGGGCCCGGCGAGCCATCCTGCCCCCCCGGGGACAGCGCTGGTTTCCCCCGAGCGGGCCTAATCCCTTTCTGTCCCACACGGCTGGAGGTCTGGTCTTTGGGACCCCCGGCCTGAGGCTCTTGGAGACCCTCAGACCCGCAGGAGGGTGCCTGGGGGTCATGGAAGTTTTTCAGGGGGCTGTGAGACTCAGGCTTGTACTGAGCCAGAGTTCACTGTCTTCTTCAAGGCCGGTCCTGGGGGTTCAGGGAGGCTCAAGGGGGCGGGGTGTGGAGACAGCACGGCCACGTGGTCCTTGTGGAGCTCAGAGGGTCTTGAGGGCAGAAGGCGCCGTTTTCTGGCGCTCTCCCCGAGGGGCTCAGTGCTCTCCCTCTCTGCTCGGTCCCTCGGAGACAGGAGCCCACATGCCCCTCAGTGTCCCTAGCCCAGGCTGCACGTGGCTGACTTACTAGGAGCTACCAGGAAGGCGCTAGCATATTGAAGACACTTTGGTCATGGCAGCACAGCTTCACCGCGTTGCCTAAGTGAGGGGTGATCTGCTTTCAGACCAGCCAGGGGGTCGTGAAGGGCGTGCTTCGGGGCCAGAAGGCGAAGCAGGCTGAGGCCAGGTTCCAGGGATCCTGCACACCGTGGCGGGCTCTCCCCCTCGGGGCTGAGGGCTGGTTCAGGAGGAAGCCGCGCAGAGCAGCGTGCTCGCCATCTGTCCATCTGCCCGTCCCTTCATCCAGTCACTCATGGCCTCATTCGCGCGCTTGCTCGCTCCAGCGGCGGCTGCTGCTGTCTGCAAGACTGAGCGCAGGAGACGGAGGGGCCGGGTGGCCTCGGCCGGGAGACAGGCTGGCTCGGGCCTGGCTCACAGCATGCCCGGGAGGCAGTCCTCCGAGTGTGAGTGGATGCCACCCCTCCCGCCGGGGTCGCTTGTCTCTGCCCATGCTCTGCATCCAGCACTCTTGCTGCGGGAGACGCCTGGCAGCGCGGGTCCCGCTGCCCCCTAAGTCACAGCTCAGTGTGTGGGGCGCTCCACCCCCATCTGCCCAGACTCCCGCAGTGCCCCTGCCCGGCAGGGTGAGGATCCAGAGGGGCTACCCAGCCCCCTTCCGGAGCCGCCGGCAGCACCAGGGACCGGAGACGCAGGCCCCTTCTGTCCTGGCTCTTCTGAGGCCACAGCGTGTCTGTGTGTGTTCCCACGTCTGTGGAAACCTGGCCGTCTTTGCACTGTGCCGAACAAGCATGGAGGCTGCTGATGGTTTGTGGTGTACCCGGCCGTCATGTGGCTTTGGAGAACCCTACTGTGTCTGAGGCGTCTACACGCCTGCGCTCCCTGCCCTGCCCAGTTCGTGCTGGAGGGTCCAGGCCCGGGGATGTTCACACAGAACCTGTGTCCAGGAAGGCCCGGTTGGAGCGAAGGGGAGACCGCCCACACTCGCGGCCTAGACCGTGTTCAGCCCACGGAGGCAGCTTTGGGCGAGTTCTAGCAAGCCCATCCTGGCTGTGTGGGCCAGAGAGTTGCTGCTGTTTCTAGGAACCTTTGTTCCCGGGGACACCGTGTTGCAGAAAGCAGAGATGCTGTAGAGGAGGCGGTGTGAACCAGAGGCGGAAGGCAGGCCAGACGAGGTCCTTACGAGTCGCACACGTGGGTCCTCTCCAGGCAGCACAGGCAAGAGCAGAGGTGGGACGAGCGGGGAGTGGCCTTGGGCCAGACCGCGGCTTCTCACGCACTGCGAGGGCACAGTGTTTCCTGAGCTCCGGAGTTTGAGAACGGGGTCCCTGCAGGGCGTAGGCAGCCAGGATGCGATACAGCGCGGCTGGAAAAGCAGGCGGCAGAATGCTTCCCTCACCCGGAGGCGGCACAGACAAGGCAGCACGCCAGGGCCGCAGGCCTGGAGCGGGGCTGCCACAGCCTATGAGCGGCCCGGATGGCTGTGCTGCCCTGCCAGGCCTAGGCTGGAACACAGCTGCCTCCGGATGTCCGGGGTAGGCGGGCACGGCAGAGGCAGCTGAGCACATTGTCTGGGCCCCACGTCCAGAAGGGAGCAGAGGGCATCTCGAGGCCTCCAGCCTGCCTCCATGACTGATGTGTCTCCTCACTCTCTGGGAGAAACTTTGGCACAGCAGCAAAACTTTGGGAAATTTCCTAAGTTTTGTGTGTGCGTGTGTGTGAGTGTATGTGTGCGCAAAACCACAGATGTGTGCATATGCATGGGTGTGCTGTGTGCACGTGTGTACTATGTGGCCACACATGTACTATGCGTGTACACAGCTGAATGCATGTGTGTGTGAGTGTGGCTTTGTGCACCTGCACGTGCATAGACACCTGCATGTTTATGTGCATGCACGTCTGTGTGTGTGCACAGGTGACTGCGTGTGTATGTCTGGGTGCGTGTGCATGTGCACGCACAAGTAAACCGCATGTCTGTGTGTGCATGCCTGTGTGGTTGTGTGTGGGCATGTGTGTGAGTGCACGCGTCATGTGCACACACGTATGTGTGGTGTGTGCACCTGTGCTTGTGCGTGTATGTGTTTGTGTGCGTGCGTGTGTGCTGTGTGAGTATGCATGTGAGTTCCCCGTGTGTTCGTGTGCACATGCCTGCCAGTGCATGTGTGTGTGCACGTGCTTGCTGCGGGCACAGGGGCAGGCGTGGAGTTGCCGGTTTCTCGTGCTGCCTTTTCCCAGCCGCTCTTGCTGTGGCTTCAGCACTTGGCGGGGAAGCGCCGACTCGGAGCAACCCGTCTGCTCATTTTCTGTTCATCCATCTGTCTAACCACATCCTCCGAGCATCTGCTGCGTGCTGGGTGGGGCCGGACGTGCAGCAGGCGCGGGCTCACCGAGATAGCGGGCCCCGTGAGGGCCCACGCAGTTGGCAGCTGAGGCCAGGGAGCTTCTGAGGAAAGGGAGGCCACGTCTGGCTTGGTGAAGCCGAAGGGGTGGCGGGTGGGCTGGGCTTACCTGGCAGGATGGGTGGCACGCTAGAGGAGGAGGGCGGGGCGGCAGAGCAGAGCGGCCAGGAGGATCGTGGCAGTCTGGAGAGGAAGGTGGGCTGGGAGCGGG